TTGATTGGTCGATCAGCCAATAAAATCACAAGATGATCATCAAAATCTAACCAATCACAATGAAAGTTCGCTATGCTGTTCAAAATTGAAAGGTATGTCTTTAAAACGATAAGGCATTCCTTGCTTTTTATCAATCCAACTTGCTATCAATGCTGCGTCTTTAGCACTGATAATTTTAGAATTAAAAGAATACGCAGATTCTCTTTTTGGCAAATCATTATGTTTAGGCTTAAAATCTGACAAATGTTGATAAATTTCATCAAGAAGATTATTTGCAAGAATATCTTTATATTGAGTTGTAACCAAACGAAGTTCATCAAATGAAAATTGGAAAAATCTGATATGAAGAATGCAATTATGTAAAACTTCCTCAAGTTCCATAAAATCTGATTGTGTCCATTTAGTTAAGTCATTATCTAAAGTAGATTCTGTATTTTCAATTCCCCATTTAACTAAATATTCCCAAATTTCAATCTCTTCTAATCTAAGATTATCACATTTCAGAAGTCTGATTAAAATATCTTTAAGAATTCTTTCGAGTCAAAAATAACTCTGGGATTTCTGCATACAAGTTTTAATGCTGTTTCATATAAATTAGTGAAAGTATCCTGTTTACATATTGTAATAAAGTCTTCTGGAAATTTCCAAGCTAATTCGGTTTCTAGCAAGCGTTTTTCAACTTGTTGACTAATTCCAAATAATTCAATTTCATCAGCTGCAATAAAAATGTCGAGAAGGTTAACTTCATTTTTATCGGAGAACATTCCTGTTTAAATATAGATATTCATTTATGAAAATAATAAATTAACATTTTAATGTAATGCCAAAAAATTAATTTGAATTTTTTATTTATGTAAACATTTTATAGAATTTCTCACTTTATAGAATTGTGGCAAATTTTTAGTTAGTTGTAATTAAATAAACCAACAAATTTTATCAGTTTATTAATTACTAACACATCTAGCGAAGTACTTGAGAACCTCTAAAACATCGCTTTGAGACATGACATATGACTTAATTAAAAATATAAACTTACTCTAAAAGAATTTCGAACACAGATGGTGAAATATTTGGTTTATCAAAAATGATAATTCCATTTTCTTTCCTTTCCCATTGTGATGACAATGCAGTTTTAAAATAAGCCGATCTTACTGATAAAATAACTGAATGAGCTTTAAATTCTTTAATATTTGGTTCTTCACCAACTTTAATTTTTACATCAAAATTTTCAGAACTTTCAAGCAAGTATGAAATATCTTTAAGTAAATTTTGAATATGTTCGTTATTCATGTTGTAAGTTTTTATATTTCTATATTTTGACCTGATTACTTGTTTAAAAATATATTTAAAAGATCACCACAGTATATCAGAAATAGTACGTACGTACGTAATACAGTGTATTAAAACACGAAATCCAACACAAACTACATGATTGTATCATCACACATGGAATAACCTTACACATAACACTAGTTAAAGTGTGACTTCTATGCAATTTTTATGTAACCTAAAGCTAGCCTACATTTTAAAATTTTTAATAAGCTAGCTTTAGGTAACATATAAGTTACATATATACTGTAAGTTATATATCAGATACTGATATTTTTGATTTCAACTAGTGTAACCTTGCATATAAATGTTTACTTCACTCTGGCCTTATGACTACCATACCTGAAACTGTTGTAACAGTACTAATACCTTTTTAGAGGTCGTCTAATGTTAGGTATATAATGATTGTAAATTAAAAATCACGCGACGCATATAAATTACTATCTGGCTTTAGACGATCCCTTTTTTATAGCCGCTTTATTTCTTTTAAAATTCCTCTGCGTCATTCCAGATGCAAAACTATTACAATTTATGTCGTAGGAATGATATACTGTAAATTTTACATAAGTCGTTACAGTGGGTGTGAATCTATGTGGCGTACAGATAACCTATAGAAAAAGTTCGGTTTGTTGGTTAAATTAAACCATAATTCTTTTTGCTTTTTATCTTGTACTTTATGTAACTTTTTTTTTTATTACAGTGTATATATGTATGCGTGATGGGTAGGGATGGCAAATGTTTTAAAACATGATCTTAAAATCATGATTGTTTGATTTAAATCTGTTAAAAATGGGTTAATACATTATGACGTATAATGTTATATTATTATTAAAATTCAAAAAAAAGAAAAGAAATCCGGTTGAACTTTACAAAAGTTTCTGAACCTGATAAACATGGTCGAAAAACACTCGCCAAAAATGTAATTGTTGTTGATTTAGTTAAACGATAAACGATCATTTATTAAAAATCTTCAAAGAAATATAAGATTTATTGAAAGCTTAAATAGGATTCTGATTCTTCAATAAATGCATTCGCAAAAACTTATTCAATGAGATTTCACATAGTGGTAATTTTATAAACCTTGGATCAATACCAACAAATGTTAATTAATATAGAATGAAAGGTTATAATGGTGATAAGCAAATTTCGCATTAAAAATATAACAGCTTTAATAAAAATTAAAGCGATAAAATAAAAAAAAATTTTTTTTTTATGTAATATCTAATAAATTTGAATTTATATAACACCGTCTTTTTTTTAAAAAAATTTCTCTGCTGAAAAATAAAATTAACCAATCAGGCAATATTTTCAGTTTCAACAAAATTTTAGCATCAGACGTTAATGTTTTGAAAAAAAGGTTTTAAACCAATAAAAAACGTTTAAAAAACTCTTTAAACCGTTTTTTACCATCCCTAGTGATAGTATTTTGGAACATATGTCTTATATCCATTTAGTTACTATATTACAGATTTTTGCAGAATAGTTTTCAGCATAATTTTTATTTCTTGTCAAAATTGTTCTCAATCTTTTTGGATCCTCTTTTGAATTCGGATCGGCCTTTACAAACTTAATATTCATTTAAGAAAACGACACTGGGTTTAAGTTTAAACTATAGTTGGTGGTAGAATTAATTTTACAAATTAATACGGTTACGGCACATGCCGTATTTTTTGCCGTAATGTCGTAATGCCGTAATGCAGAAATATTGGGTGTTCTCAAGCGTCAATCTAGATGTGATTAGCAAGTGATCGCAATGGTACTCAAGCAAAATTATATTACATAAAATTTTTATTGAGAATTCGAATATGTAATTTATGACGTAATTGAAATCTTCTCAAGCATCATCTTCGAT